GCTTCAGATAATTCAAATGTCAACTACGAAATTACAAAAAAACAGAGGCCGTCGTTTGGAGTTATTGCATTACATCAGTAGTTTTCTGATTGGTTCTAACCTCATGATGCCGACCCTGTTAGTCCCACCTTTGAAATCGTGCTCTACCATCTGTTTACCAGACAGATTCGTCATGTATATGCTATACCAGTCTGGCTTTGCTGGACATGATATCCTGCAAGAGGGCTTGCATAGCTCAGAGTGAGGTATACCCCAGGTCTATGTTAGTCAGCAATTAAGCGACAATTTCATGGGTCTGGTAGTACCAGAGATGCAGTTACACTTACGCTTGAGGAAAGTACTAAATAAAATTCGTGAAACAAACGAGAAAACAGTCAGGTTTGGAATTGCAAAGCGCATATATAGCACAAGAGAACAAGACATTCACATTCACAGTATGATGGTCTACCCTGTTCTGAATTAGACAAAGTTGTTCCCTTGCTTTAAAGGCAGAGTCAAAACAATCACAGACACTTTGGTAAAACAATTACCTTGAAAAAGGTATGTGGTTTTGTTATGGGAAAATGTACGTCTTGTCTACAACCACCCCTCACTATAACCACCATTTTGTGGCCTTACAAGTGAAACAGACTAAGTTAAGAAGCATTTTTTAGAGAGCAAATAGCATACATCAATACAGGAAAGAAGAAATGAATAGAAAATAAAATTTCCAACAACATTGATAGTAAAAGGTTAATTTAAGAATATTTTTAACTATATTAAACCAGATGAAACTAAATTTTTTCCACTTGATGAGTTCTGGATAGAACATATTGACAGATGAAAATGTTTTTTAATCATGAATGTCGTGCAATATGCCATGATCATACTTTTTGGACATTGGGAACCAGTGTCCATATTTGATCTTGACATGATGATTTGGAATCAGCTGTGGGATTTCTGCAGGCCCCCCTTTTCAGCCAAAGCCTCCACAGGCAAATCACATGGAAGCCACCAGAGGTGTGGAAAACCACCACCTCTCTGTTATGACAGAGAAAACCTGAGAGCACACAGAATTCTTTCTCTTTTTTTCCAGCCTTCTTTTTCCCTCCTCACTCTTTGGCTCCTGCTCTCCTTGCCTACTCTCCCTTGCCCAGGGAGATGGGGTCTGCCGCAGTGGAGATGTGGGCCCCAGGGGAACCAGATCTCCAGAACCATCAAGAATAAATCAGAACCGAACTGCTGCAAACAGACCTTTTGCAACACATTTCTCTTGAGTTTCAGAACTTTTAGAGCCAAACTGGATGAGAACCATGCCCTGGGTGTGAGACTGAGGGGACCCCTGCTGTGAGACTGAGACAAATAACCCCTGACTGCAGAGATACAAAATGGATGAAACTCAAGCTTTCCAAATGGACATGGAAAAAGGTTTGCAGGTCTGGCATGATTAGGGACAGAACAAGCAATNACTGTACATTATATACATAAGCTAAATTATTAGAAATAAGTTCACATATTAAATTTGTTTCAACTATTTTATTGACGCCGTACAGCAACATGCTCTCTCCGCTTTGCAGCCAGCGCAGAGCCAGGGGTTGCGCAATCCAAGGTGAGGCAGAGCTCGCTGCTGCCTCACCGGCATCGCTTCCAAGCATTTGAATGGGAAAATAAGAAAATTCAGCGATTTTGAACAAATAAAAATCGAAATTGGTGAAGCTACATGAAAAATAAATATTTTTTAGTACAAACCACCGGATGAATATAGCAATTTAAATTACTTTTATGATTATATATTTTCTTTCTTTCCATGATGGCTGGTGAGGCACTGCCTCACCTGCCTCCCCTGACCGCACGTCACTGTTCACAACATAGGCTGAAAAGTATTAAATTAGGTGAATCAGAAAAGAAATTACTTGAATCTTATCTGATTGAACAAAAAAGAAGTAGCTTAAGGATGGGAAATAAAATGTTGAGGAAGAGGGTATTGAATAAGTATCAAAATTTTGAAATCATATGTGGAAATGTCAAGACTTGGCAAAACAATTTGAAATGATTTAAAATGTGTCAGTTGATCAGCATAAAGAAAACAGTGTCACCCTTAGAGGATTGAAAATCTACTAACCTATTAGCAAGACTGACCATGAGAAGCAGAGGAAGGACAGATAAAGAAACATAGAAAGAGAGCTAATACCACTTAAGGAGCTGAATTTATCACAAAAACTAACCTGCATGTTACGAGCCGGTGTGGTGATGAAAGCACCGGTGGCAGGCTTAGGCTGCATGTTACGAGGTTAGCAGATGCTTTATTACAGTGTAAATCTTAGAACCTTATTAAGAAATATGCACTGAGATGTGTGGTCAACAGGCCTTGGTAGTGTAATTTGAAAAAATTGGTTGAGTTTGGGTCATAGCTACAAGCCATACGGCACAATGAATGAGTGTGCGTAAGGAAGAGGCTTTTATTTGTAGAGTCCCTTTAGTCTTATTTCGAAAGTCTATGATGGATGTGTGTCAAGGGAAGGGTCATGCCCAGCAGTGATATAGAATCCATTTCTAAGTGTGAAATCACTGGTTTTCCATGTTATTGGGTGAATAGATGCTGTATTAGACCGTAAATGGGAGATTTTTATTGTGAAATGCGCTCTGGGGTATGTTTTGAAAAGGTCCCTAGAGTCTAATAGAAACAAGGTAGAGTTTGGGTCATAATGCTGAGCCATTTGCATCAATTTATACACAAGTATAACATAGAGACTTTTATTTTGTAGGGTCACTGGAGTCTTATTTTGAAAGTTTAGCAGGGTTGTGTGTTGAGAAAAGAGTCAGACCCAGCAGTGATACTTGATGACTTTCCAATCGTTAAATAACTATTTTTCCCTGTTATTAGGGCAGTAGATGAAGTGGCAATGGGAGGCTTTTATTTTGAAATTTGCTGTGGGGTGTGTTTTGAAAATCCCCCTAGAGTCTAATTTTAAAAAAGTGGTTGAGTTTGGGTCATAATGTTGAGCCATATGCTGGGAAAAAAAATATGAGTTTAATGTAGGGGCT